AACTCAGGTCCTCACACTTGAATTGCAAGCATCTTCCCCAGTGAGCCAGCTCCCCGGTTGCCAAAGCAGGTGTCTGTCTACATGCTGATTGGTACTTTTTATAACTAGTCTCTCAGAACATTTGATGTAGTTCTGAGCAGCAGCTCTGGAGGCACAGCCTGGGGCTCCCATAAGGATGCACGTGGGGAGAGGCCTGTCACAAAGCTCTGATGGCCTGACTTGGTCCCTGAGACCCACGTGGAGGAAGGAAAGAATGGTCTCTTGCAAGTTGTCTTCTGCACACATTGTGGCATGAACCCACCTGCACATGAGTGTGAGCAAAGGCAAACATTTAATAAAGACAACTGAGATTCAGTGACAACTCATCTCCCCTCTTCAAGTGAGTTTGCCCGTGCTTCCCAGGGAGGCTGGTGTCCGTGATGTAGAAGCCTGAGAATGAGCTCGGAGGACCAGCAGGCTTAGCTGTGGGCCATGGAACACTGTGAACATGGACAGGAGGAGACAGAACACTCAGAAGTTTTGAAGGTGCTCCTCCCAGGATACAATGTAAATAAGACAAGAGTTTAAAAGCACCAAGAGTTTTGAAAACCAACATCAATTGCATAGACTCAAGGCTCATTTCCAACAATCTGTTTGCCTGCGTCCCCAGTCCCTCCTGGCCATAGTCTCTAACATGCAATCTGTGAGGCCTGCGAGGCCTCTCTGAGCTTTATAAAATCTCTTGATGGGCCCCAAGTGTTGCTGTGAGCTGCAGCTCTTCCCACCAGGCAGGGTTGGAACAACCTGGCCTTCCTGAGGTTGGGGCAGGTGAGATAACATTTGGAGTCATTGAAGATTTTTGCTTGCTGCTTTCTTATTAGCCCAATCTGTGATAGCTAGATCCACCTTGCAGGGCCGATGACAACCTTTCCTGCATCCTACCCCATTAGAGCCGGTGCACTGTGGTGTCACAATTGCTACGGCAGATGTTTAAATTAATTCGTGGATTCTGGGCAGGTAGCCTGAGTTTGAATCCCAGCTGGAAAAATTAGAGACTGTGAGACTTAGGGTAATTTCCCTTACTTCTCTGTGTTATATAACCAGCTAAAGTGGGTTAATTGTAGTCAAGAGCTCAGTCAAACTGTGAGGGCTAAAAATGAGATATAAGTAATGCCACAAAGCATTTCCATTGAGCCTGACTGGGAGAGAGCAATGCTATTAGCTACCATCTTGTGTGTGTGTGTTTGCATGTGAACGGATGTTCATGAATGTGCAGCTCCACGTATGTGTGTGGGTGCATTGAAGTTGGAGGTCAATCTTTATCATCTTGTTTTTTTAAGACAGGGTCTCTCACTGGTCTGGAGCTCACTGAATAGTCTAGGCTGGCTGGCCAGCAAACCCCCAGGATCCTCTTGTCTCTGTCTCTCCAGTATTGGGATTGGTGCCTACCATCACACCCAGTTCATCCACCCTCCCACCCACCCACCCACCCATCTATCTAGTGCTATGTGCATGTATGTTGTTAGGTTTCAAACCCGGCACAAATGGCTGAGCTGCCTATTTAACGTATCAAAGTGGACTTGGCCTCCAGGTTGTCCCAGCATCCCTCAGTGCCTACACGCTACAGGGTATGGATTGCCGCATACCCCACCCTCTACCCTGAACTCTGCAGCACAGGTGCTGGGCTGCCTTCATCCCTGGGGCTCTTTCCTATGTAGTGATCCAGACATCTTGGTTGTCTGCCCTGTGGCTTCCTGGCTGCTGCACCTGGTTCTCCCTTTCCCTTCTCCCTTCCTCTCCCCTTTCTCCTCACATGGCCCAGCTCAGGGTCATGTCTGCTCTGGACTGTCCCAGATGTCCCTGCCTCTGCCTATGCTCTCCCTTTTATCTGTAATAAACTTTCTCCTCTACTGTACTGTCCTTTCCTTTTGAGTTCTATTTTCCACTCATGGGCCAGAGGACAATTTGCAGGAATTGGTTCTCCCTGTCATAGCCGTTCCGGGGATCAAACTTAAGATGGTCAGGCTTGCTGTTCTTATCTGCAGAGCCATCTTGTCAGTCACAGCCCCTCCTCCTCCTCCTCCTCCTCCTTCACCTCTTCCTCCTCCTCTTCCTCCTTTTCTGCTGTGTGTTCTGGAGATCTAACTCAAGTTTGTAAGGCAATCGATCCATCTCCCAACCTACTTACTACTTTCTTGAAACACTCCATGTAGCCAGTCTCTTGCTGATCTTCAGTGAGTTAGGCTGTAAGCTGACTACAAAGCTTTTGACATACAAGGAGATATGATGGAATTGTCATTTCACTGTGGCGACTTGGGCTTTCTGGGCCGATAGATCCCAGAAACAATCAGAATGCACCCAGTTAGGCCATCACTTTCTTAGCAGAAATGGTTTCTCATCTGGCTACTAACTATGAGGGACCTCATTACAGAGAGTTCCCTAGAGGTGTTATGAAGAAAACGCTGTTCCAGGGGCCAGCAGAGTGTTTGCAGTGCAAGCATGAAGATCCGGGTTTGGATTCCAGGTCTAGAGGTGCTGGCAGTTCCCTGGAAAGACAGAGACAGGGGCAGCTTTGGGCTTGCTGGCCAGCCAGGCTACCTGAGACAGCAAGCTTCAGGCTCAGTGAGAGATCCTGTCTCAAAAGATAAGATGGAGAGAGACGGAGGAAGACAATTGACATTGACATCTGTCCTCTGCACACACACACACATATGCACACACGCATACACACACATGCACATACACACACAAGCACACACACATGCACACATACATACTCATGTACATCACACCACACACACATCACACACACATACCATACACACACCATACATATACACATGCACATGCATACACATGCACACATACATACACCACACCACACGCAGGTACATACACATACAAACCATACACACACACCACACACAAGCAAACACACACACACAGACACATAAACACAATGCCATACACACATATACCACACACACAATCCATACACACATATACACACACCACACACGTACACCATACACAAATATCACACCCATACACACAAACCATACACACGCATCACACCCACACACACCATACACACACACCACACACACCATACACACACACCTTACACACATATCACACACACATAATGCACATACATGTACACACACACCATACACCCCTATACCACACATACACACACGTACACACAGCACAGAAATCCTGTTAGGTCACTGAGGAACATGGAGTGTTTGGCAGAGCCCAAGAGGACAATTAAGAATAAATGTAGAGGACTTCAGTGGAAGGGCAATGGTCCCATCACAGGGGCAACTATAGAATTTTCCAAGATACTAAGTGCAAATGAAGGGAGAGGCTGCGCTAGGGATACTGTGGCTGTATTTCTGGGAAGGTAACATAATGAAATAGAAAAAGAGAGTTGGGACAAAAGACAGGCAGAGCCAATAGGAGAGGATGGAGAGTCTGGATCTGAGAGGTTTTAGCAGAGGCAAAAGAATTCCAGACCGGGAGCCACGGATGGAAAAATCAGGCACTGAGGGTGGATATCAACCAAAGGAATTCGATAGTAACTCAGCCAGCCCTCTCTTCCCGCATTAGGTGATACAGCAACACTAGACCTGTGATGAGAAGGGAGGGTGGGGAGCTTGCGGGTGAGACCGTCGTCAAAAAAGCCAGCCAGCGGCCAGGGATGCTGCCTGTCCACCCTGTAGAAGTCTTGCCCGGGATGCAAGAAGCCCTGGGTACCATCCTCAGCACCACGGAAACCTGGTACTGCTGGTTTACACCTGTAACCGAGCACTTGGGGGTAAAGGCAGGAGGACTGAAGTCTATGGTTGTCCGCTACATAGAGAGTTTCAGGCCAATCTGTCTCAAAAGAAACGAGTAAATAAAACAAAAGGGGAAACAGCAAAAGAGGGCGCCAGTCTTAGCTGTGGGCTCCTGCTGTCCTAACATTTGATTAGAATTCAGTGAAATAGATTATTTAAAAAAAAAAAAAAACCTTTTATTTACTTGCGCGCGTGTGTGGGTGTGCACGCGCGGGTGTGTTGTGAGACCGGTTTTACCAGGAATCTGCAGTCTTCTGGGCAAAGCTCTTTGGCATTAGTTTAGGGCCACCCTTCCTGTATCATTGGCGGGACAGCGTAGCACACAAGCAGCGGTCTGCTGAGTAGCGTGCCAAAAGATCCCTAGTATCACATAGGCAGGTGCATGTGTGGTCAGTGGAGAGCCAAGCAATGGCCAAGCCCAGCCAGGACCCTACCAGGGCAATTGCCACTTCCTACCCCGGTGTCTTTGTGGAATTGCCATTGACTCTCAGTGTGCTGATGAGAGAGGAAAAGAAAACAAGATCTGTGATGATTTTGATTTTTTTTTTTAAATTTCACTGCATCGAAATCTAAGCTGCAGGAAAGCCAGGACCAAAGCATTGTTGTCCCCCGTCCCTGCCCCCCCCCATCCCTGGAATCCGACTTAACATTGTAAGCATTTTCCTTACAGCCTCCCAAAGTTTAAATATTAATTTGCCTGTAATTGGCGGAGAAAACAAACAAGCAATTAAAAACGTTACAGAACTGACTTTCTCTTTCCCGAGCCTGGCCCTTCCCTTTCATTTTGCTCCCACCGCCTAGAACTGGCTGTAAGACAATAGGAACCCCGGGCTGTGTGGAATTCTAAGCCCCGCTTGCCTTAAAGCTACAATATGGATTTAATTTATATGCAAATGAAAGCAATAAAAAGGCAGACACAGTAGAAATTATAGGGTTCCCCCTCCCCGCCTTTCCTTAGGAGAGCACAAATCCTTTCTCTCCTCTTCCGACTAAGACCTAATTATTATTGGTTCTCGACACCCGCCCCCCCCCAACTCTGGGTGTAAACTGGGCCGTTTAAGAAAAACAATAGAATATTGGAGCATTCCGGGAATTTCACAGTCCGACTGTCTCCTCTCCTCCCCCCACACAGGGCATGCAGGGGTTCTTCTGTTGACCAGCCGAACGCAAACCTGATCAAAGGCTACCGGAAGCCTTAAGTAGACCAAAATGGGGGCTCAAATATGCTAATAGACGAGCTAAATATACTTTAATCCTGTTATAATACAAGGTAACTTGGAGGCAGGGAACAGGCCTGGTGGCTTTAGCTAGGGTGGAGCCCCCCCACCCCCCGCCCCCGGGCACCCCTGTGAGTGTTGAATAGAAGTTGCTTCCTATTCTTTCTCTGGTTGGGGGTGGGGTTGGGGACTTCCTTCCTCAGATGCCCACACCAGCCCCGCCTGTCCCGTTTACAGAGTGTCAACAGTTGGGTGAGCAAGCCTCCTCAGAGCTTAGATCAGTATCCTGTGACCTTCCGCATTGAAGTGCGCCATTCAGCCAAGCCTTCCAGCTGTTGCCTGAATGGTGAGAGGTTCCCCCCACCCCTCCCTTCTTCTTTCTTCTTCTTCTCTTTTAGAGTAGGGCCTGGCTTAGGAGGACACTAGGCAACAGTTTTAAATTAGGACCTTCCCACCACCCAGCTTGTGTTTTCAGAGGCAGGGGGAAGCCTGGCTACAGGGCTGGCAGATGTATTTTGGAGCAGAATTAAGCAGGCCTGGAGGGAAATGGGCCCTCTCAACTCACTTTTAGGACCCAGACTTCAGTCTTCCTGCAGCCTAGGCCTTGGGCTACAACTTCTGGCAGTTTAGGCCCGCCCTACGTGCTTAATCACAGCCTGAGTCAGAAGGTCTGCATCAATCCTTAGGCCAACTGCTGGTATCAGGAGATTTGTGAGGGGGGAGGTCACTTTGAGACCTACCTCAGAGCCAGGAACTCAACTCGCGAGTGGGGAATCAGAGGAGCAGGGAAGAGGCCCACATAGCTGTCCGTTAAGTGCAAATTACGTGGTGGATACATAAAGTTGCAAGGGTGTATTTTGAGTCGCCTGCTTCTGTGAGAACCCTGGCTTGTGCCCTCGAGCCTGTGACAGGCAGCTAGAAGGAGTCCTTTGCTTTGCTTCCGTCTGGGCTCGGTGTCCCTCACCATTTTCTTTTCCATTCTTTGTTCCTCTTCCTTCTGCCTTATTTCTGTTCCCACCAAACCTCCGTTCGAACGATGTAAGCAGAAACCTTCAGGCGCACTTCACCTGGAGGTGGAGACCTCATATAGTCCGCCACAAGGAATGAACAAATGAAGTTTTCTAAACTGGGCATTGAGCAAAGAGCACATTCTTCCTTCCCTGTCACTCAGGCCTTGGTTCCCTAACCCTAACCCAACAGAGTTAGAGAGAACTGTTCCTCTGTTCAGCAGATGTCCAAGGGGTATGAGCACTCAGATGCTCCATCTCTGTGCACAGGGGACCTTTGGGGGGGGGGGGGAGGGAAGAAGACGCAGGTATTGAGGGAAACCTGGCATTTGAACCTGGTCCTACCACTTAATGACTTTGTGGTTTTGGGCCTGGGTTATTTCATCTGTAAAATAAGGGTGAAAGTTGCGCTGGCAGGCTGTTGGGATTAGGTGTGATAATCTCTGCAGAGGGTTTGGTGTGCTCAGAGTCTGGAAGCAGCTGGTGACTCTCTTAGGACTCAACCTTGCTCAGGCACTGCGTTGTCATTATCCCTGGTCATGAAAGAGTCCCTTTGGTACTTTCAGAGACAGCAAGAGAAAAAGTTCAGCTCTCTGTTTAAAGCTCTTCTGCATGGCTCCCTAGCCCAACATGGCTCCGGTGTGTAAGATCTGGGGCCCCAGGTGTCTCTAAGGTTTCCTTTCTCTTCTCCATTTTCCTGGCTCTGCCTTTCTTTTTTAGTATCTGCCTAGAGTTAAGACCTCCTGAAGTTTACGGGAGGATGGGGTCGTGTGGGGGTGTGGGCGACAACTCTGTACAAATGTCTTCTGCAGACACGTTCTTGCCTGAACAAAACACCCCCAGCAATGGGTCTTGGGGCTCCAGTCCTCTTTTCTGTTCTTATAACTCATGAACTGGTTTTAATTATATAGTGTTTTTCCAAGTAAACAACCCGACTGAAAAAGGAAAACAATATTAATTTTTGTCAAAATAAGTCGGGGCCAGTCCTAGCTGATGACATCAGTGGCTGGGAACCTCATACCATCCTTGCTCCTGTGTCTGACCTCCTCCTATCAGTAACAATAGGAAAAGAGAAACCAGTTCCCAGAGATGCAAGAATCCCAAGCCACCTCAAGCACAGGAATCCAGACCCACAGGGATTCCAGAAGTCATTTTGGTGATACTTTTCTCAGGGGGAAATCATGCAAAGTTCTTTGTCCCCATTGCAGACAAATACAGTATTATCTCGATTATAGTAGGAACCATGGAATACCGTTCAGTTCACTTCCAAAATGTCGTAGCAAACGTGTGGATAGGGGCAGCGTTACTGAGCAATGCCTTCGCTTCCTTTATTTCAACTCTTCATGTAACACACGTTCATTAACATCTCCCCCCATGTCTCATTACTATCTCATCAAACATTTATTATTACTTTCAGATAGATAATTAAATTTTTATACAGTTATTTCTCTATATGACAATCTAGCAGATTTCCAAACCTGCCTCATCAACACCCTAACGGTTGGATCCAAAAGAAAAAAAAATCATGAACTTTCCATTTGATGTATAGAAAGCTTAGGAACAAGTTCTAAGATACATTTTGGATGGAAGTATAGATGTCTGGCCAGACAAAGCTTGTTCTTCATCAGATAAGTAACTGGATTCCACTGATAATATTGTAAGATCCACAAGCTATGTAAATGGTTGATTTTAAGGCTTGAACTGGATTTGTTAGAATTGAGTACTCCCAGACAGCAGAGGCAATAAATGTAAAAAGATTAGCGAAGAATTACCCTTTCCAGATGCCTGTTACATTTAGGATTAGAGGTCCCGATACGTGTTACATATCGCATAAACTGCACGGAGCCTGCAAGTATCAAGTTCATCAAGAGGAAGGAGAGGTCTTTCTTGCCTGGGATTTAAGAATGGAGGCTGGTTTTTCGGCTACTTATAGCCCGGAAGAGAATTTCCGGATGGTGGGAAGATCCAGTGTTAGCAAGAGAGAGGGGTCCTCTTCTTCCTGTGCAATTTCTCAGTCTAGACCCTGACTTGTAGCAGAACAGTCATCTGAGACCAAACTCAGCCTAAGGGGCTTGACTCAAAATTTACCAAATCCTATGAACTTGGTTTGGGGGAGGCACAATTCCTCATTTGGATTTTTGTTACCAAAAAATCATCCCTAAGCTCTCAAAGTCTGAGCTCTAACGTTTGACCCCTCCCTGCCCCTCAAATAGGCAAACCAGAGACATGTCAATTTAGTCGGTCTAAATTAATGCAACCGGTTACTGAAACTTTTTTTTTTTTTTTTTTAGGAAAAATACCAGTGGTGTCTTCCAGACACTTCTCACCTAGTCCAAGCACTGGGTAACCAAGCTGCAGCTCTTACTTTCCCCAGCCCCATAAGATTTCAGGGATCCCAGGCTGATCTCAGACTCATCAAGTAATCGAGGATGGCCTTGAACTCCTGGTCCTTTTGCTGCCCTCTTCTGAGTGCTGGGATTACAGGCTCGTAGCACCATGCCTCATTTACACTCTGCTGCCTGGGTAGAAACAGGCTTTGGGTGTGCTGGGCAAACACTCTGTATCCATTTCTTCTCATTGGGGCTTTTGGCTCTCTAGAAGTATGCTTGATACATACTGGACAGGTAGGGCAGGGGCTGTCTAGGTGAGGCAGGCCAGCCGAAGAGGCCAGAGGACTACAGTGGACTTGTATTTTGGTATGTATTATGCTGCCTGAGCAGGCACTGGACTTAACAGGTTTTGGATGAAGGCTTGCAGTTTTAGCAGATGCTGTTTGGTATTGCTGGGGAGATGCTCGGGTCTGTGTAGGGACAGATGGTACATCTATGGTACATCTGATGCTGTCTATTCACCACTTGACTTGGTGAATCCTCTCCTAATCATAGGATCTTAGCAATAATCACATACTCCAGTTGCAGGTTGTTTGTTTTGTTTTTGTTTTTTATAAATTCCCTTCCCCACTACGTATGTATATATGCACGTGTGTATGTTTGTGTATGTGTGTACACGTGGGTGTCAGGGTGGAACTCAGACTGTCAGGTGTGGCAGGGAGCACCCTGATTTGCTGAACTCCGACCCTCCATTGGCATGGAGAAGGCAGGGAGTCTACCTGCAAGTGGTTCCAGCTCATTGTCTTCCTTGTGTTTCTCCGCTGCGAGCAAATAGAAGCTGAGGAGTTCAGCAAAAGCAGCAGGTGACGCAGGGTTATATAGACTTGTGGCCCGAGAGAGCAGTGGGCTCAGGGTGCTGGCAGTGAGAGATGTCATGGAGAGGGAGCACTGGGCACAAGGTGGTCTGTGTCGGGACACACAGGGGTAAACAAGGCAGAGAGCTCCTGAGGCGGGGTAGTTTTGACCTCTGCAGGATATAATGCGAGCTCTTTGAGGAAGGCTGCCGTGGACCACTGTAAGGATCCACTGTCTACCGCTAACTCCCCATGACCATCTTCGAGGCTTTAGCCAGAACTGCGTGTAGCTGGTTTAGTTCAAGTCTATCTTCTACGTGCTCTTTCCAAAAGGACGTTAGATGCTCCTTTTGCGCGAGCTGTTTTTGGAGGCCTTCTCTTCAGTCCTTGGACTGTAGACACCCAGTCCAAGGCTCAGCTGTCTCTCCCCAGGGTGATACACAACACCCTGGGACTATTTGTGAGTCTACGGACTCTTTTGGTCTACAGCTTAGTTGATTTCTTTGGGGTAGGTTAGTGAGAGAGGGGTCTGCCTTCAAATAATATTATATTTGTGTCTCTGTGTGTGTACAGGTACAGGTGTGTGTGCGTGTGCACGCACATGTGGTGGTCAGAGGTCAACCTTGGGTGTTGGACAGCCTTGTTTCTTTGTTTTTGTTTTTGTTTTTTTTTTTTTTGACAGTTTTTTTCTCTGTGTAACAGTCTTGGCTGTCTTGGAGCTCACTCTGTAGATCAGGCTGGCCTTGAATTCACAGAGATCCACCTGCCTTTGCCTCCCAAGTGCTGGGATTAAAGGTGTGCATCACCATCCAGCAGCTGTTTGATTTTTAAACCTATCTTCCTCCTTCTCTCCCTCTCTCCATCCCTCCCTCCCTCCCCTCCCTCTCTCCCTCCGTCCCTCCCTCCCTCCCTCCCTCCCTTCCTTCCTTCCTTCTTTCCTTTTTTTCCTGGGCCCAGGATTGAACTCAGGTGGTCAGGCTGCTGAGATGTCTTGTTGGCTCTCTAGTTTAAACTTTGTAGATAACAATTTTGTGCATGCAATGTCAAAAAATTTGGACATGCTTACAAGGTACCTATTATTCTTTTTATTTCCAGTCCATGGAAAGCTAATGCACATTCATGACAGTCTGTCCTGGGACTGTTGAGTGCGTCACTG